AGCCATGCTAATGCCATACAACTACACGCTGACATAAGCCTTTACTTTTATTCAAGTGCTGTCTATAAATGCCAAAACAAAATTGGATTTAGATTTGCTTTTAACATGCTGGTATTTTGTTGTCTCATGATGAAGAGCAATATTGATTTAATTGGCTTAGGGTTTCTGAAGGACACAAAGGCTATGTTTCTGACTTGTGTCTGAATTGAGAGCAAAACAGGCAATACCAAGGGGAGGAGCAGAAATAGGAAATAGGCACCGTTGACATGACTAGAGTAGGGGACAACTGTCCTGGGTGCTGATGGGGGTGGGTGTGAAAAAGACTGGCTTTTGCTGCAGTCATATGATTGTCATTACAGCAGCAGCAACAGCAGGAATTTGCCATTGCCCCTGCATGCAGCTGCCACTTAGAGTTGCCACCATGTTCTTATGCTGCTAATGGGCACCAGAGCTACAACCCAGGCGCTGAGGACTGACAGCAGGCGGGGGAGCCGAGGCCAACAGAGCTGGGTGGCCACCCCTGCAAGCCATGCTGGCACCGGACCTAAGCAAAAGCCGGCTGGGATGGGGAGAGAAGGCACAGCGGGGGAAAGTGGCCCTGTTCCAAAGCGGCAAGGGGGTGGTTGGGGGAGGCCAGCCCCAAACTGGGGTGCTGGCATGGCAGTAAGGGGTTTGCTCGCCCTTACCAATAGAAGCAAAGTGAGAAAAGACAAGACAGTGGCAGCATGGGATGTTGCGTGGCACTCCATCCAATAACTCTTGTATTTTTCAGCTGGAACAGTTTTATTCTTATCTGTTTATGCTAGTACATATATGGCACTCATCAGTTTAATATCCGAGTACCTCATTAACAGTAGATTGATTTCATCCTCACAGCTTCTCCCTTCCCTCAAGTGTTTGCAAAGTAGTGAATCTGTTTGTAAAAAGGCACAAAAGGCAGGTGAAGCATCCAAAATCATAAAAAAAAGTTTGAAGTCTCGAGTCCCAGGTCAGTACTCTTTCTGCCACATCACCCAAGTCCAGGGTGCCCCACCCCACAGGCCATATCAGACCCACAGAGCCATACTGTCTTTACCACAGGGCCCCCATGGGTCTGAAAATTTGGCAGTGGGAGAGCAGTGGCATTTAACTGCCTCTCCAATGCTGTCAAATTCCTGGACCTGGAAGGAGCCCCACAGGCTGGAGAAGATGGCTTGCATGTTGGATTGAGCATGCAGGGTCAACAGGGGCAGCACAGGGTGGGGCAAAGCTGAGTGGGGCCAATTGGGCGGTAATGGGACAACGCAGAGTTGAGCAGGGCCAAATGAGGCAAGGCAGGGCAGTGCAGGTCTGAGCAGAGCAACACAGGCCTGATACCAACACAGGGTTTCAGTCTGGCCTGTGAACTGGCCCTATGCTAGTTATCCAGCTTGCAGGGCCAAATTTTGAGAACCACTGCCCTAATCTTGTGACTATTATAAGCAAAATTTCTACTCTACTATGAGCACTGTGAGCATGCAAAATATGTACCGCTACAATGAACGTGAACACAAATGTTTGTGAGCTACAAATGGAACTGAAGAGGGGATTACGGGAATTGTGTGCTATTCTCTGCATACAATTGGCAGTATTTTCTAAAATAATTACGTTTTTCCTTACAAATAATAGGTGTTAAGTGATGTTTGATAGAGCATACAGAGGGTCACATCTGCATCAAGGCAACCTGTTTTCTGTTTTTAGCAGGAAGCCATCTCAATGTTGTGGGTAAGGACATTTTCAGGCTTTTTGGAAAGCGAAACAATGGAATGAATACAGTATATTTACACAGATCATTTAGGAAATGCAATGAAGTGAACAATGAGCAGTCATCAAATTTGATGGAAAAAAGGCACTTGACACTGACCTGCCATCCCATGAACTACTTTGAAATCCCATTCCCTATGATTTGTATTGGATTCTACTCACTACTTCCAACATAAAGAAAAAGAAAAAGGATAAATTGGCTCAAACAAAAGGTTTACTTTAAGCCTGTGCTGCTGAAATATGAGCTGCTTTCGCAAAATAGGATAAACATAATTAGCTACAATTAAAGCATTTAAAGGTCTATTATGCCATGATCTACAACTGTGTTAGTTTATTAACATCTCTTCCCAATAATTTTTTACGGAAGAAGGAAAAGTGAAAGCATCAATATCATAGTAGTTTAGTCAGGGAGGATCCTGCACCAAGCTAGATGACCTCCTGAGATTCCTTCCAGCCCTACTTTTCTATGGTTCTATGTAACAAGGAAGATGAAATATTAAAAACCCCCCACAGACTATGCCTCTTAAATATGTTTATATAGACCCATTTACATAAAGATAAAATAGCTGTAATGTTACATTTAAAGTGATGATGTATATTAAACAGTACACTTAATAAAATAGACCCCACCCCTTTTTTAAAACAAAAACCCCATCATCTAATTCTTTTCATTTTTTTTTAAATATAGAAAACTGATCAAGCCAAATTTTTATCATCCTGTCCAAATGGAATGGACAAAAACCAATCAACTATTTTAAAAGTTTGAACAACAGTTTCATCTGGCTGAGCATTATATTTAAGAGAGCAGAAAGAGTCTGAAACCTCACTTGTAACTATTGAGGCTCATGCTTGATTTTCTTTTATGGTAAGTAACATAAAATGTATGAGTTAGCTCAAAGTCGAATACTAGTTTCCTGACTAGTCTAGAATTAAAAAATATTTCAAATAAGTATAATAAAAGCTGTCCTCTAAGTAAAAGAATAGTAAATACTCTGATCAATGTCTTCTTAACCTTGCAAATTGCATTTACAAACAGCAAACAGACATGGCAACATGATTTCCTGTTTATTTCAAATGCTGAAGTGAAATGTAAATATGGATTATTTTTCCCTCAAAAACTGAAAAGGAAGATTATAAAGGTTGTGTAAAAAGCTAATATTCAACTTTTTGCATAGCTAATGAATGACAATATTATTTCTAATATTAAAATAGAACGCTTGCAGATATGCTGGCATTTGATTTCAAGAGGGAAGGAAAAGCCACACCAGTCCATATGGTTCCCTTAAAACAAAAAAGCCTCCTGGGTTCAAAAGCAATATTTCACTTAGTTTCAGAGCAGGAAAGACCTGCAACAAATCCTCTCAGCTGTTTACTGACAGGTACCATGAACTATTACGGTTATTTTAGGGAAGGCTAATATAAATTTTTAAATTTTTATAAACTCAAATATACTTTATCATGGTATCTATTTAAAAAAAACATGAATAATCGCATGTCAGTAGTAGGTTTTTCTCCCCTCAGAACTGTGTCATAAAATTGGGCCGGAATACCCAAAGTCAGTGGAAGTTTTCCAATACAAATTTAAAAATACCCCTACTCTCCTGCCATTTATAATGACATTTGATACTAGGAACAAAATGAAAAAGAAGAGATTTTGTTAAAAGGACAAAGCTTGCCTAGAACAAGCAGAAGTTTGAAAAACTGTGCCAAAATGGCTTGCTGGAAAAAAAAATTAAAAACCTATCACAGATTGTAAGTGAAGGCTTGGACACTCCAAACCTGTATCTGAGTTAGTTACCATGTAAACAGACATACTGAACACAAAACCTTGATGCAAAGCCCACTGAAATCAAAGGAAAGACCCCACCTGACTTCAAGGGACTGTGAACCAGGAACCAAATATATAATGTTACTCACGATCACCAGTGTTTGCAAGTTTCTTGTGAGAGACTTACAAGTTTTGCACAGAATTTGCAAGATAGTGAAGGGGAAAAAAAACAATTCATGTGACTGAAATGTTTGCCATTTAATTATTGCAAGTTAGAGTCTCCAGTATTCCTGCCTATACTTCACTGTAAAACATGAATAGACATACACAAATGAGAAAAATCCCAGCACATTGCTTCTGCATGGGCACAATCTCTGTTTGACATCATTATGTAACATTGTCTATATGAACACAAACATTTCCTTTAAAGAAAATTGTCCCCATGACATTGTGCTCTTTAAATAAGGCATAAATATTTAGTTTGATTTAGAATACGTGATTTGCATAAGAATAAATAGTACTGCACCCATTTCAGGATTTTTTTCCCCAAAACATGTGAGTTTTGTCTTGAGTGCCTTCATTGCAAAATAAGATAAATAATCCTTTTGTAAACTGGAAAAACAGAGATTTTTTTTTAATATTCTATTAAAAATGGAAGGCATAAAAAGGAATATGCAGTCGGTCAGCCCCAAGTGATTTAGGTATTCCAAATATGCAGTGCAAGAGAACTTATTACAGTAATATCACAATGTAATACTGGCTCTTCCAGGATGGACTCTTAAAATTGCTTCTTGCTGGTTAAAGTTGCCTAGGTCCAATCAATTCACAACTGTCAGCAGACTTTAGAGCATTAGGGCATTATTGCTCATACAGTAACAAAAAAAGAAATAAAACCAACATGATTTCACTGTAATTATTCATGTTACATCAAAAGGCATTCCTACTTCATCTACCCAGCATATTATGCTTTAGAATTCTTCATATGCTGTAAGATGAGGAATGGGGTGGGGTGGGGAGGGACGCTATTTGTATGTTTTCTGTAAAAATATTAAGCTGAAAAGTTGCATCACAAGTCTATTGGGTTTTTGGTTTAGTTAGTTAAAATGTATATGTCAGCTCTACTTGCACTGTGCTACCTTGGTTTGTGCTAGCTATCTGTAAAGGCTGATTGAAGGAGATTCCTTTCATCATACAGGCACTGCTTTCTTTGCTACAGTAATAGAGGCATGCTCTGATAGACAGTACAGCTTCAGATGACTGGCAGCAACTGGGTAACTGCAAGTGGATGAGAGGTGGATTGAAAACATCCTTAATTTCTCCAGATGAAGTCTGTCCTCGTAGCAACCACTCATTACCTGAAAAAAGAAAAAAACCCAGACAGACATGCTTTATCACTGGCTTTTAAACAGGGAGTTAAATATCTTATAGGATTGCATTGATTGAGACATTAATTTCACTTCCTGATTACAACACAGTTTTGTCCTATGTGCAGCATTAGGGGAATTTCATCTGATTCACCCACTCAAGATGAAACTGAAATAGAATTCAAACACTTTTTAATAGCAAGTGTCAGGTCATGCAGTTACACAACATAAGCTTGAATTTATGTAAGGGGGCACTTTAAGGTGCCTGGGTAAAGGATGTGCTAAGCATCTGTAATATGCTTTGTAAGCCAAGTCAAATTTTACCCTCAACTATTCAAGTGCAATTTTGTTGAATTAACTGGAAGCAAGGCATGTACATCATCAAGATAACATGACTTGAGCCAAAAGTACATAGAACTGTAGACTGATGACACATTTTCAAACAGGAGTGTTGATTTGCTGTAATTTAACAATGTTTGGATTGGTTGTTACAAGGAGAACCGGAAATTCCTATTTGTTTAAATATTTAAGAGTTAATGACCCAACTATTTAACTATATAAAACATGCAAAAACAAGGTGGCAAACTTGCCATTGTACCCTGTGTCTCGCTATAAAGCAAGATGTATGAAGTGCTCTTTCTGGTGATTTTCATAATATTTTCATAATTTGTCAGCTTCAAAGAAAAAAGAAAAAGAAAAAAAAAAGAAAGAAAGAAATCCTGTAGGACTTACAAGCTTACAATGAATTGCAAGCCTACATTGCTTACATTCTGCATTTTTACTAATCCTGAAAAACATGACAGGTATCTTGACCTCAACTGTATCTGGAGAGTTCGTAGGCCAGAAAAAGGATGCTGACTCTGCTATATGAAAGTGGTTATCCATTTTCCAAAAGCATAAGTTGGGATGAGAAACTTCCTCAAATCACAGGTGTCCAAATAAATTGTCAGTGCCAGCAAAGCATTTGCAGCTTGCTCACAATAGTGACTATTACAATTAAGCCACCACACAGATAAAAAGGCATTTTAGAAGCCAGCCAACAAAAGCCTGTCCCAAAGATAGAGATGCTTCATTTTTATCTTATTTTAATTTAAGCTAAGAGTATTGTCTAACTATTAGAAATAAGAACCTAGGACAGTGTTGTTAGTTCCAATTTTATTGACTGGCAACTGAGGTGCACCAAGACTACTGTATTTATTTGAACCTAAAATAATCCTGAACGTAAGAGAGCTCCTCCCCCACCTTCCAACAATTAGATTTTATACATGGAAAAATTTATAAAATTTGTTATAATTTTCCATGTATAGAATCTAATTATTGGAGGGTTGTCTTTAATTCTTTCCTCTTTTCACTGAAGGGGGGCAGGCATGGGGAGGTCAAGCAGCATGCCCCCTGCTTGTGCCTGCCCCCTGCCACCTCCAGTCTCTGCTCTCTGCTTCTGCCTTCAGCTTCTGCTCCATGCCAGCAGGCTCTATCCCAGCCCAGCATCTGTAGTAATAGTAGCTGTGTGCCACTGCTATGGGGCTGGGCTGGGTCCATGCTCAGTACCCCAGGCTGCAGTGTGTATAAAACCTGCCACTGCAGAGCAACAGTAAGGAGCAAAAGAAAGAGTGGCAGCAGGCAGGGGAGTAGAGGCTGTGTGGGTTGGGGAAAGGAGATGGGGAGAAGAGGCTGCAGGGGGGAGATGGCAAGGTGCGGGGAAAAGAGGGGGGACAGGTAGCAGATGCAACTATGGCCCTGATCCTGGGTAGGGACTAGAGCCTGAGCCACAGCAGCCAACTGCCTCCCTCCTTCCCCCCTATACTCAATTCTAAGACAAGGGGCTACCCCTGATGTTAAATGGGGGGGAACCATGTCTTAGGAGTCAAGTAAATACAGTAAAAGAACTGCCCAAGGGAATACAGGAAGTTATCAGAAGTCAGAAATAAACTCCAGTTTTCCCCGTTTCCAGGCTTTGATGCTTACAATCTGTTCTCTCATGTAACTGGATGTGCCTCACTGCATTCACTTACTTAAGATTAAAAATATATATATATTTATATGATGGTGAATTAGGGTCAAATTTTGGTTAAAGCAAATTTTGTTTAAATAAATTTACAAGGAAAAATGTAATACCCTTTACTGGAACACTTCAGCCTTCATGCTAAATTCTGAGTGGATCTAGCTGTTGGTTGCCTGAAAGAGATGAGGAGGGTAGGGCAGCCTACCTCCCAAAGCTGGGGGCTGAGCTAAAGGTGGAGGGGAAGTGTCTGAAAAGCAAAAGGAGGCCAAGTATATATTGTTGTGGGAACCACAACTCTGAAAGTACTCGCTGACAGATGCTGGAAGTTTCAATCAATGCTCTGACCTGTTTTTTTACACTGAATTTTTCTACAGCAACCATAAATAGAATATGGACAGAAAATGAAGAATTAGAAAAAAAAAAACAGATTGGGAGAAAGAAAAGTTCTCCCCTATTTCCAAGTGTTAACAGACTACTTCAAGTCTAAAATATGTTCTCCTGGTATTACACATGGTATTTACAGTGGTTAGAGCAGCACTGCTCCTATTTTAGGAGCCTAATGTTTCTAAAAGGTTCACATGGAGATTTTTTTTTTTTTTTTTTTACACTGTATTCAGTTAGGGAAATGGAAAAAGATTTTTGACCTATTCTTGATCACATTTAGGAATGTTACAATTCTAGTTATATTAAATACCATAACACCTCAGAAGAAAGCACCTTACAAACAATACATAAGCAGGTCACAATTTTTAACTCATCTTCACAGGATGCCTATGATGTATAGAAATTCTATTATATCATTTTACAAACACAAGGCAAAAGCCAGCTAGACCACCTAGGCATCTTAATGAGATTTAGGGTTTTTTTTTTGGTATTTAAATTTGCAATAAGCAAGCCAGAATACCCCTGTCCCACAAACCAGAAACCTCAGTAAAGTGCCTAACTAACACACACCACCACTGTTTCAGTGCAAAATATGGCAGCCACAGCTGCTTTCCTTTAACAACATAAGACCATAGGAAATGGATGCTGCAATGGGAGAAGAGCAGAAGGTAGAAGACTGGCCATGCCCTGTTCACCTTCCCCTTCAGCGTCCATGCTTTGCCAGGATGCTGGGCTAGATGGCCCTATCATCTGATTCAGTAAATACTATTTCTTATGTTTTATGGTGGTACTCTGATGGTCCAAGGTGGACAACTCATGTATAGCCCTAAGTTAGGCAGCTAAGTTCCAGAGAAGGGCTGGACTTCGGACAGCCCTGTACTTAGGATCTCTTATTGGGTAGTATTAAGATGCTTCCTTCTTGGTGTCTGGGCTTTCTTTTAAATCATCCTCCTAAGGGTAGCTGCCTGTTTTTGTTTGACCTATGAGCAAAAGCCAGATTGACCCCTCAGAAGCCAAAGTCCATATCCTCGGCAATGTTTCAACTACTACCTCTCACCAAAAACAACAGCATTTAGAAATCTAAATATCTTTTAGGACTTTAAAAGGAAATATAAAGCAAGTCTGTGGCAGATCATGGGCTCCAGGTAGCCAGTCTCAGGCTACTGTTCTGACCACTAGCACATGCATCCTTTCATCGCATCCAGTTGTACCTGAAGAAATTTATATATGAACTGAACTTCTGAATGGTGAAAAACAGATCTTAATTACAATTAAGAACCTTACAAGCCTGGTAACAGCTGCCATGTAAAACTAACTAGCCCAGACAAAAACTATTTTCTTACTATACCTGTAATGACCGACACAATAATCTAAACTTAGTATTTTACTTGTTTGTCAAAACGCACTATACGCCTCATACAAGTGTGTGCATTATACAAGTATATAAACAGTATATTTGATCTAATAACAATGGCTCTTCACCTTCTGCTGTGAGAAACCATGAATTGGGTGCTTCCTCATTCAGCTTTGAATCTTCAGGAAGGCTTAACCGTAATAAAAACTGAAGTGTCTGCCCAGGAGATACAGTCAATGAAGGAAGTTGAATGTTTGGTGCAGATTTAGGCAGCTTTGGCAGGCTTGCCATGTTAGGCTTTTGTGCAAGTGGATGATCTACAACATCAAATGCTTCAGTAGTCAGGATAGGCAGCTATCAATAAAACAAACAAAAAAATTAATAAGTTAATATCTGAAAGCGTGTTCCCCGATACACAACTCTGCAGAGCATGATGCAATTTATATTCATAGTACACACCTATGCAGCTAATATGAATGAATACAGCTTACTGATCTTAAGGTGTTTACTCTGCAATGTATTAATTGCAGTGAGTATACCTGCCAGAATACAGAAATGATGCAATGATTGGAAAGGGTAAAAGAAAGACCCAGAAAAGCTCTTGCTTTTAAACTGTAAAAGATCTGCCCATGTTATTTTTTCCTTCCTTATTTAAATTTTAAACTACATCACCTTTCAGTTTTGCCCATTGGCTCTTACTGTTAACTTAATAATTGCTGTAATCTCAGAAAACAAAACTTTTGGTCTTTGAGCATGCAGATTATGCTGCCCATGACATGATCATCATATCCAATAAGCATCCAAAAAGGTGGTATTTTAGTATCACTGGTAAATTTTATTGAAAACACATCAAGAGAACCAAATGTATATTTAAACACACCTCAGCTGCAAGGAACACAAGTAAGCCTGTGTGTACCTACTTGGAAATAGCTACCAGCTATGCATACTACTGTAAACACAGAAAGAGAAATCTGTTTTGCTTTATATATAAAAAGGCAAAAAAAAGCAGAACCCAATTTTGAAAGCAGTCTCAGTCTGACCACTTGTGTACATAAAAATCAGGGCCGTTAAAAAATTCTGCATTTGTTTAAGCAAATTAAAATAGAGGTGCACTGATACATCGGTCCATAGTGTATCGGCACCGATAAAAGGAAAATTGGTATTATCGGTAATCAGCACTTTTTGGCTGATGTGGCTGATAATGTTGCTGATAAATGCCGTGTGCCAGCATGTAGCTGCAACATGCACACAGCCAGGAGTTCAGCCCAGTATGGAGAGCAGCCCACTGGAGAGCAGTGTCCAGCTGGTAAGTCTGTGGGAGGGTGGGCAGATTAAGGTCCCCATGGTGAGGGAGGGAGTGGGGCTGGGGCAGACACTGCCCAGCTGGGGCAGAGCGCAGGACGGAGCCAGGGGATGTAGGGGCACGCGGCTCCCACCACTGTGTGCACACCTGGGGGAGGCATGGGGGGGGTATGTGGCCCCTGGATCTGTGCTTGGACCAAGGGCAGCCTGCTGCTGTATGCTTGGAGCTCTTCCTGGAGGGGGCTGGACCAGGGCTGCACTTGGGGCAGGTGGGACAGCAGCAGCACTGGGAGGGGGGCTACAACAAATTCTGGGGTGGCTGTACCTCCCTTCCCCATAACCCCACCTCATCCCTGCCTCTGCTTGCCCCAAGTGCAGCCTGGGCCCAGCCCGCCCCCACTGGGAAGAGCCTGGCACAGCCTCTATCTCCTGGTGGCAGTCCGTCCCTGCCCCGTGCACAGATCCATGGGCCACAGGCCCCCATGCCTTCCCCGGGGGTGTGCGCAATGGCAGGAACTGCCCCACCCCACCGCCCTCTTGGATGAGCCATGTCTCTGTCTCGTGCCCTGCCCTGGCTGGGCAGCGTCTACCCCAGCCCCACTCCCTCACTCTTCATGGGGGCCTGAATCTGTCCCCCTGCCCCATGCCCCTTCCCCTCAGCAGACTTAATCAGCCAGATGCTGCTCCCCAAGCTGCTGGGCTGCATAATCAGTAATTGGATCAGTATTAGCTAATATGGCTGGTCAACAATTAGCCATTGGTATCGACCAAAAAAATCTATAATTGGTACACCCTTAAAATTAAGGGCCATTTAAAATTTTAAACAGACTCATACGTACCAGAATATTTTACTGGATTTGGAAAATAATTCAATTTTGTAACCAATGCAGAAATAGTAAGCAAATACATTTATGAGTAATCTTTTTAAAAAAAAATTATAAAAGGAACAGCTACCTATTTTGTTTTCCATATGACAGCCATATGAAATAAACCACTATCATACCATTCTCTTAATTTCTTTGCCACAAGTGAACTTTGCTGCTTTCCTACCATTCTGTGTTTCATGGATTTATTTAAAAAAATCTGGTAACTGTAGAATTACAGAGAATGGCAACTGCATGTGTAAGATCTGGTAAAAATACCATACAGAAGTGGCTGATCTCAAATAATTGGTTGGGACTTGATCCAGAGAGTTGCTGAGCCATTAATTCCAGTTGGAATTTTGGGTGCTCATAAGTAGGACCCTACTGCATTCACAGCAGAAGTGGGGTGCACTGTAGCTCCTTTTAATCTTGCAGGTTCCCCTGCACACCTCCCTGCCTCTGACTGGTGGAGGGGCTTCACTTGTGGCCTGCTCCTGAACAGCAGGGAAGCGAGAACCATGGTTTTAAACACAGCGCTGTTTTTGCCTCCCTGCTGGTGACCAGCAAGCAGCAGGGCCACTGGGGCCCCTCAGTCAATCAGTGGAAGGAGGCCATATTTAAAACCACAGTTTTCACTTCCCTGACGATTAAAAGAAAGCCGCAAGAGAGGCTCCTCCACTAAATCAGCCTGGAGCTAATCAGCTGGGTGGAAGGTGTGCAGGAAAATCTGCAAGATTAAAAGGACCTGAAACGTACCCCACTTCCACCATGAATTTGGTGGGGCCCAACTCATAAGGCAGTCTTCATCTTGCAAGACTGTTCTAATGGAGACTAACTTAAGTCTCTGTAGTCACACTCTTATGAAGGCTCATCAGCTTATTTTCTTTGTACCAGTATCCTTCCCATACTTTAGGCACAAAATGAATATTTATTTTAAGCCTAAAAGGATATCCTTAGAGTTTGTTATTTGTCAGATCACTGCATAACTTTATGGGAAGACATTTAATGCACTGGATTCATCAGCTGTGCTATTTCATACCATCTAAACAAAATCTGCTATCATTTAAGAAAATTCCATATTACTAATTACACCAAGAAACAAAATGTTGCATCAAAACCATTCATAAATAGGACTTGCCATGGAAACAGTTTTTGTTTGTAAATCCAGCACTTTAATTTGATGATTATTGGTATCTGCAACGTAGAGAAGGCAGCCATTCCCTTCAACACACAAACCTCCTGGTTCATTGAAAGTTGATTCTGTAAAGCTGGAGCCACTAACATTACTTGCATCTCCTGTACCTGCCAGTGTAGTACAGTTCTTCATTTTGGGATCTACAACCTTAATCTAAGGAAAACAAAATGAACAAAAAAAAAAAGCCCTGTAAATTTATCAGAATTAAGAGCAAACATATTGTGTGTGCACTTGTGGTCACACTTTTCAGAAGTGACTAGTGATCCTGGGTGCTTTAGTTACCCAGTGCCCAACCTGACACATTGTCACATGGCAAGAACTTCTGACCATCAATTCTCAGTATTTTTTGAAAAATCAGATGGTAGTAAGGTAGCAATTTTAGGTTCACTGCACAATTTTATGAATGTGACCAGCTGTCCCAAACCTGAAAATAATAATCCTGAGTACAGCATCTTCTTCCCTGATCACAAATACCCAACCAAGACATAAGAATGGCAAATACATTAATCTCAGTTTCTTTAACATAGACAATCTAATAAATATTTAAAACAGCCAAACCCTGATCTTCATTCTTGTGTATGACTTTAGATTATTGTGGCTTAATTACAGCAATCACTGGCAAGCGTGTGCATAGCTACAGGAACTTTAAGGAAGTGTCTGCTTATGAATAATATTTAAGAAACAGATCTCTAATCTATGCTCTTGAAACCTCACATATTTCCTACTAAGCAGCTTCATAACAATTTTAAACCAACTTTTAAACCAACTGGGTTCAGCACAACTTGGAAAGTTTTTTTTAAACGGTGATGTGCAAATGAGTATAGTTCATAAATAAACACTTACAATTTGCTAAAACTATAAACCTTTGTTTTACCTCCCTTCCTTTTCCTCATGTTTCATGTGACATTTACCTTTTTCAACCTCAATCCTCTACAACATTTGCAAAGACTTGAATCTTACATGCTATGGGTAGTTCCACTGATATCAGAAAGATGTTTCACAAAGCATAAAGTTAATCCACACTTAAGTCTGAGTGTAAAAATCACTACCTCTGGGTGATAGTGTAACTGAAATAAGAATACATATATACATTATTATTGCATGTTGTATGTATAAAGTGCCTGATCAGATGAAACCCAGGATCAAAAACAAATGAAAAAATGTCTTTCTGCTTGGTTGTGCAAAGTACAATTTTTACACGACTGAATCTGAGAGACCCTTTTCCTACAATATTTGAATCTGATTTTTGCGATGAAAAAAGTGACAAATACAGTTGGGTACAATATATCATACAAACTCACCTTATGGTTGTAGGAATCTGCTACATAAAGCAGCTTCCTTTTCTTGTCCCAGGTTACTCCTAAGGGGTGCTGCAGTTTTGCATTTATTCCTGCTCCATCCACATCACCAAAGGCAAACAAATTCTAAAACAGTATATTATTTAGTACACAATTAGCTGGCTATTCAGAGTTGACATATGACAGTGTTAATTACCACAATTAAAATGGAAATTAGCTGGCTCACTTTTAAAAGATACAAAACTTAGGGGCTGGGAACTTAAGGAACTGAATATGGATATGGAGGCTCACCTCTAGGTCATCAGCCAACTTCAGTAGTTGTTACCACAAGGCAGTTTATTTTGTGAAGGAGTTGGTCAGTCAAATTTTTAGTGACCAACAATCTGCATTACAAAAATAATGCCACAACCAGCACTTGCATTTATCACCTAAATAGTGAAATTAAGAAATGACTGGGCATGGAGACTGAATTACCCTCTCCAGACTGACAGTTATTCCTCCCAGTTGAGAGAGATTAGTAGGGTAGTGTGGAGAAGGCTGAAGTGACTGAAGTTATTACCAGTGGGTCTCGCTCTCCTCCTACAAGGTGTTTCACTGCTCCATCTTTCAGTGAGACCATTCGCACAGTACTACTCTCACTGTCTGCTACAAAGAGGCAGTTCCAGGGCTCTTCAGAAGCCAGAGAAAGACCTGAGGGTTGGGCAAATCCTGCTTTATGGGGATATGCATTGTTTCGATTCTCTTCGTTCCCACTGCCGGCAAATCGAAGGCAAGTTCCTTTCTTTAAATCACTAAGAGAAAGCAAGTATCCAGGTTCAAAGATAAGCTTGAAACAGTTCACACAGAAACAAGTTTCTTTCAGTTTGGGAAATCTATTCAGTATATGGAAGTTATCAACCTAATGGGGCTATAAAGCACAGGCAATTATTTGAACCACCTCTATTCTAATTGGTATTTTAACTTTATTTAGAATTTACAATTAAACAGCATAGCATAAATACAATGTAAAATTGCATTTAATGATATAACTATGGAAGTACATTCTACGAAAAAGCATTTAAGTCACAATATGGGCTCACCTTCCTTTTGGTAGCTTTCCACATTCTAACATGAGTGCCCAGATTTGATGAGTACCTGCCATGGCTACCCATAGAACAGCATCTTCCTGGGTCCCTGAAACTTCATCAAAAAGAAAAGAACAGAATGAAGGCAGGTCCTATTATTTATAAAAGGGAACACTTATCAAAGAACTGTGTTCCTTTCACATACCAAGAGCTTCACAGCTCTTCTTCTATAGCTTTACCAGGTGAGAAAGTTGTACTTTTAGAACATCTGATAAAAATGGCACTTTGAATAGGAAATACAGTCACCATTAGGTATAAGTATTACCACATATTCTCACATTCATACTGGATAACAAATACATCAGATCTTGGCAAGACATTTAAGACCCAAACTAGTGACAAAATTGAAGTTCTCACTGAATACTGTTAAAAGTTTGCAGGATAAAAGGGATCTAGTGAACAGCACTACTACTTACTTACCACATACTCACTTTGAGTTAATTTAGGCTATGTTCACAGAGTAAACTTACTGTCCTAGTGGCAGTACTCTCAAACATGTGGAGCTGCCCAGGTAAACTGCCTCTTAAAAGTTAAGAAGTATAGCTGTCCCTGTGCAGTACTTGGGGTGGGCAAGCATATCCCAGCTAAGTACCACTTGGCCTGGTACCAACCTGACTGGCCTGCCTACACTGCTTCCCATTGAGGAGGCAGCCTACCTGGAGCAATGCAAAATGCCTGTGGATGTCCTGACAAGGATGGTAGGTTCACTGCATAGACAGTCTTGCCCTGGGTTACAATATGAAGTTTTGTGGGCAGAACTGGAAATCTACCCGCAAACATTAAGTGGGAGCACACTCAAAACTTCTTTGTGGTGGCAGAACCCTCCACTCAGTTAGCAGAGTTGATCCATCTCTGCTGAGTGGAGTGAAGCTTGTACCAGCAGCCAGCCATAGGAGCAGCCAATGCCCTCCCAAGGGTATATAGTAGCAGAGTTGTGTGGAGCAAGTCAAATAGCTGTGTACATGCATGTACTGCCAGAACTTCTCACGGCAGGGTTAGCCTAGTGCTGCCACCGCATTAGTTTTTAAATCCAAGGCTCCGATCCGGCAAGTAAACTCTGTTCTTAACTCTGCTCCCCTGAACAGTCTCACTGAAATTAAATGGCAGCAAAGTTAAAGGAGGAGCATAAGCATTTTCCTTAGTGGGAGTCAAGTGAAACTGGTGCTCATGGAAGGTATACTCTGGTACGTTGGAGACTGATGTTTGGTATTTACTTGAAGACTAACCCCAGCTTACATTGTCACTACCCTAAATTTTCTCCTGCTCCTATGGTGCCTTATTCCTCATTTACATGCAATAAAGCAGTTGCTTGCTCTTAAGTTAACCATGGCTATGGTTTGCTGATTTTTTTTTTAGTTTACTTTTTCAAATGGATGATTTTTGCCAACAGTTACTTACTATATAAAGCTTCTGATAATTAATAAACTTAGACAACTTTGTCCAGATGTTATTTACTTTCCAGTAAGATAACACACACATAAATATAAAGATAGACTATGTACAATATCAGCCTTTTTTGGGGATGGGCAGAATATAAATTGCATAAACAAACAAACAAACTACATTTTCAAAGCAAAGTCAATAAAGGTCAAATAAATACGACCAATTAAAAAGGCCTACGGGCATTTTTACATGCATTTCCAGCGTGGTGCTGGGTGCTTTTAATTAGTGAGCTGTGCTAGTCAAAAGCTCCTGCATGTCACATGTATCAGCAGCACAATGCGACTGCACTGAGGAAACAGCAGCAGTACACTTCGAACTAAAGCACAGCAAATGTGTTTTAGTTCAAAGCGTACTACTGCCATTTACTCAGTGTGGAGGCATGCTGCACCGCTGATACACGTGAACATGCCAGAACGTGTCTATTTATGTGCTCCAGCAGACTCGATTAATTGAGCCTGCTCCGACACACTGGATTTCCAACGCATTGAAGCAGGCTCCCCGCATGCATGTAAGTGACCTATGGAAACAAAGAAAATTATTGCTTAAATTATTAAAACTTGTCACAGAAGTATAAGTTAAAAGAACAAAGTCTTCAAAGTATAATGAACAGTGGATTAACACAGATATATTTGTTATTCTTCTAACAGTTAACAGTATAGTTATTTGTTATCTTCCTTATTCCACCAAATGCAAAGGGGTCTATTGACATATATGTTACTCATACGTTGTTTAGACATAGAAAGCACTAACAACTTTCATTTTACTAAGAACTTTTTCAAAACCAATACATCAGATATTGAAGCATCTTAAACATAATACTTCAGCTATTCAAATAGCTATGTTAAAACAAATGCATGATTTTATTTTTAGAAGTCTCATATTTGTGTCAAAGTTTGTTACTACTGATATGAACTCACACAGTAACACTAGATTTATTCCTGCAAGGCCCTTAATAGCACCCAGTGTTATCAAACCTTTTCTAACCTCAAAATTCAAAGACTTTGTTACTGACGTTTCAAAGTGCTCTAGAAAAAAGAGGACATGTTCAAGTTCTAAGAGCTAAGAACCCCCCAAAATCTAGGCAATATTTTGAAGCAGCAACCACAAATTGTCCTTCTAGAGCCAAACCCATTTGTATTAATAGAGGAACTCCTATGAAGCTTGGGTTACTCTTGCAGCCTAAGGAAAAAATAATATTTTTCCACATTCAGAAACAGTTTTCTGACTCTGATGAGCTATTTTAAGAATATGCATAGCCACTACCAAATGCAGAAAGTAACGCATTTTAAATGCTATTCATCCTCTCTATGATTTTCCAAGATATGTTTCCAAGACTAATCAAATACAACTATACCAAATCCTTCTTCTCCTCCACATATTCAACATTTCTATTGAAGCAGAAGTTTTAGTAATAAAGTTTAATATTCACAGCATCTATAAACTTCTGGTGATTTGGAGGATCCAAAGATGAGTTAAAAAAAATTCCAATAATAAACATTTGATAAACCAGAGGTTGCACCAAAGCACGGAGCATTCTTCCTAGTTCATCACTGCTACTGCCGAGCATAGCTTGTTTCAACTGAATTAATTTTTAAGTGATAGAGGAACATATTATAATTATCCTAGCACATGTAGACATATTTAAGTAATTTCTACTCCCGCTCCATCTGGCAAGGTTAGCCAGGGAAAGAACAGTATCAAATTAAACAACTGTTATTTCATAAAAAAGGCTGGTTATTGCATTTTATAACATCCAAGTTCCTGGTTGTATTACAGTCTTTAATCAAATTCTAGTATGGACAAGAATACTGTGAAGTGTTCATAGCTACAATGAAAGAAAATGGCTTCTTAGAATCATTATGACCTGCTGCTGCACTGGCTCAGCTGTAGTGGCTGATACATTGAGGAGGGAAGACAGTTAAGGTTTTGCCCCTTCCCATACTCCTCTGCTGATGAGTGTCAGTCAGGTAAAGAATATCCATGTAGTCCTGCATGCCTCCACCTGAGGCTCAAGGAACCTGCATCATATTGTAACGGAGTCTCTGCCCCAGGTTTGTGCGTGAAGTCCAAATCAAAGCTTAATAACTGGTAAATATTTAAATAATTTGTCAAATTCATAAACCTGGAGGAGAGACAAAAAAGTTAAGAGGACAACAGAGATTTTTTTTTTTTTTCCAGATAAGGATAATGAGCATGCAACATACAGTACTTGGTTATAATCTTCCCTTTATGATACTGGCAGGTCTACAGTAGCTCTGATTTTGGAAGAGAGATTTGTTTAAAGCTGAAGCATGTACATGCATTTATATTCCCTCATTCTGCACCCACAGGTATTCACTCTAATCAGAATATATTAAGTTGAATCAGAATATATTAAAGGTGCACAAAGAGACAGTTAATATCTATCAGTAATACACCTAATGTTAAGCACTTTTTGAAATAAATAGTCCCAAATAGCAGCTTCTTTTGTGTATTTTAAAAAGTAGTTGGAAATTTCATATGGTTTGGAAAGAAACCCAGGAGAATCTTTTTCAGAGTCCATTAGTTGTCACTGCAACTGTAGTCCATCTTAAAATGGAACAAATACACTAGCAACTTAGATGAGAATCTCTGATGTTGTGCTAATTAGTACACGTGCGACCTCACAGGAATTGGCTATATTTCTATTCTGTATATTGAAACTTTAAAACATGGAAGTAATGCAAAATGCTTCAAGATGGAAATCAAGAAAGCAATCACTTGTGAAAATGTAGGTCTTCGCACCTTAAATGTATACAATACAGTTTATCATATAGGATCCACAAAGCTCTTCAAGTTATCAATATATCTAATTTATCCACCAATGAAATCTAGCAAGTAGGGCCATACAAAGCTTCGGTCCCCGATTCCATTTGGCAGAGATTCGGCCTGATTTGGTGGCCAAATCTCCAAATCTGAATCGAATCAGGAGACCCTTTAATCTCTCTGAATTGAATCGGAACCCTTCGAATTGATTCGGAGAGATTTGGTAATTTGGATATAGACACAGCTTTAAATGTTTTTTCTACATATGTCAAGGTACCAGGAGGCTCATGAATGCTGAGATGCTGGGGTGGATGGAGCATCCCGCAGGGGCAGCGTGCTAGGCAGTTTGCTCAGCGTGATCGGAAGCAGACCAGAAGCACTTCTGGTTCACAAGGGAGTGCAAAGGCCCCCGCCTTGCGTCCTGGCTCAGGGCTTCCAGGTTCTGGGGGGCCACCCAGGGTCTCCCCATGGCTGATCTTTGAGCTAGGGGGACACAGGGGAGGGGGACCCCCCTGCAGATCTGGAAGTATGTCTGGTCCACTTCTGGGTTTGCTGCTAAGCACGTAGGGGCCCCCTGCACTCCTGTGGGATGCTCTATCTGCCCCAGCATTACAGTGTTCATGAGCCATGCCTGCTACCTCAAGGTATGTAGAAAAAAACATTAAAGTTGTGTCTGTATCAGAGAATCAGCATTGAATATTCAGATTCTGATTCCGCTGAATCGAACTGGGGACAGTGATCCGAATCAACAAATCGAATCACTGTCCCTGATTCAGGCCGAATCTGAATTGAATATGGCCCATTTCACACACCCCTAATAGCAAGCTCTAGGGCAGAAAGTGGCAAGTGGGATATATGAATGAAATTAAAACCATTTTGGGAAGGAAATATAACTCTCCTTACCTAACTGGAAACTTACTGTTAAATAGAATAAAATTTAGTCCTGAACGTTACATTACCAGGCCAACCTTTGCTCAAAATGTCACAGTTCAGAATTTACAATTTCATCAAAAACAACGACCTCCAACATCACAGAGGACACTGGTACAGAAGCTCAATTTCATTACTGCTTAAGGGTAGTTATGCTAGCTTCTCACTATAAGAATTTCTAGCTCCTGAGAACCAGAAATGGACAAAAAGATAATAAAATGTATTTTCATATGTGCCTAAAATATATATATATTAAATATGTAGGAGAAAAAAAAAGTATTAGCACCAATGTTAGGTTTTATTGAGTACATGAAAAATTAGGAGAGAAACACCTTTCTCCAGCTAAAGAACAGAGACAGAAGAGGCATGAAAAAGCACTTAGCAACGGCAGTAATTTCTAGTACAAGGGAACTACTTATTTTTGGAGAAGTAATAGAATAATTAGAATAAGAAAAAGAATTAGATATAGGAACAGAACAAATACATGATATTGCTAAAACTGAAGAAGCTTCACATTTATCATTGGGGGAGGTCAAGGTGGAAAGAAAAACAGTATCTCTGGCTGCATATCACAGGATATTTAAACAGCAAGTCGCATCAATTGTCACATAATGTTCCTCATGACAGATGCACTGCAAGAAGTCTATTCTTCTTACATAAATGACAGAAAGAAAGGAAATTTGTCTTTTTTTTAAGTGGAGGCAATTTAGGAAAGAATACCAGAGACTGTGGAAAGACTGTACTGATAAAAGGAGGGAGGAAACCAGAAGGCTGAACAAGTCTTTACTCTCATTGTAGTTGATACGACATTACAGTGTATTCCTCATAATCCTTGTATGGAGAGGATTTATTTTCAAAGAATTTATTAAAGAATAACATAAAAAGAACAAAGTGATTCTTTTACATTTACACAGTTAAACACTACATTCCAATCTTGGGAGTTTCTCCTTATTTGGGTATGTATGTTCTTATCTCTAGTGTTGCTTGTATCAAAGCAAGTTCTGCTTGTAAATGTGATAGAGTCGTGTTATAAGAATTCGCTAAAAAAAGAGAGCTTTTGCCGCATTATTGTTTCATATGGAAGAACTGTTTTTGTGCAAAAAAAGAGAAAATTACATAAACATAGTTCAAAAGTACACTTCTCCTCAGCCTGTTCTATACTGCTAGAGTTTCTGGATTTCATCCATTTTCTTCTGCTTCATTTCAACACACAAGACACTGACTTATTCTTGCAAACCCTGTTGAAGCATACCAGTAGTATTGTTGACTTCAATGGCACTATTCATCTGAGTCAAGTTAAGCACTTGCAAAAGTATATGCAGAATCAGGGCCATAACATAGGCTTTTTTTTCTTTTCCCAGCAAGGAGAAGAAAGGGGATTCACTTCAGTAATAAGGAACAAAAATATTCGGAGTTTCATTCCTAGGAATAAGGCCAAGCCTTCAGCTTCCACTGTCCTGGGACTGCAGAACTACTTCAGTCTGGGGATTTAAAGCCTGGGAATAGAAGTCATGTCTCCTGGACAGTAGCACTGACACTTTCCAAATAGACTGAAGATTGAAAATATTTTTTCCCATCTACTAATTTTATCTTAAAGAAAAAAAAAAGGAAGAAGAAATCTGTCAGCACATATATCATTTGCCAACGTACAAGAGGCAAGATGAGAATAACTTTCATGCGATAGACCACACTTGTGTTTTAGGACATGTAGTGAGGCAAAACAGGTGAAAAAATCTTAACTTCATTAAAGTAACTGGGAAATTTTCTTTTGACATTGATTGGGCCAGGATTTCATCCAAAATATACAAATTACTGGTTTATCTCTGTGAAGGAAAAAAAAAGATCTTTGAATCATATCCTCAGCTATATTCAGACCCAGACAGAATCAAATAAAAAAAACCCCCTGCCATAGGATGATATGAAAAGGCGTCACTATGAAAATGTATGAATTCTGTAATTTTCAATTTTTTCAGGGTGTTAACCTTCATGCACTTTTGGTTTTGCAAGCTGCAGGATAAAACCATTTACAAGGTGCTTTTTCAGGCAAAAACCTCCTCTCATCATCTGTGAAACAAAGCAACTTTTGAAACATTATTTATTTGTTGACTTGGCTGCAGAAGGAACCCTGCCTATGCCCCCCCTTCTCCGGATATAAAAAAAATACAAACTCCTTTTCTTAAATGTCACAACAAAGTATTATATACTTATCTTCAAAGGTGTGCACAACATTTTTAGGGGGCAAATATTTAAGACAACCCCATCCTAGCTTGAGGCTGTTCTATATTTAAATGTCTTTAGCCTAGCTGTGTTGGCCAGGAATGTGAGGGGAAAAAAATGAAAATAACTCTTCTAACCAACATGATTAGAGCTCTGTTGATGAGCCTGTAATACAGACGTATTTTTTTTTTAACCAGTAAAAGTTTTCTTGGTCAGTGTGTCTTACTCCATATTAAGGGAGCTGGTTTATTCTATACTGGAGAAACAAATACTTAGCCAGCAAGCAGTCGGATCAGTGGGTTGGCTTGTAAACTATACCAGCAAGCCCTTACAAATAACAGCCAGGGAGAGAGAAGAGGCCTGAAAGAATGAAGGAGCTTAGTAAGAAAAATTAATATATTCTTCTTCAAATTTTCATCAAACCTTTTCCAACCATAATCAAAGTAACAAACAAACATGACATTACTTCCTGAAACCTTAACAGGGTAAGGAGTAGACACCTTGATAAAGGACACATTTAGGAGTTAAATTTTAAGTCTTCATTGCTTTAACTCTTCATTGCTCTAATACTATAGTGATGGAAGGTACAGCAGAATCAAAGATAAAAAGCTAATCTACGTAGGTATCTCATTAGTTTAATTTGTTTAATGTACTATATTAAATGATGGTGCATAAATAGTGCTTTCCTCTGAAAGGACATGCTTAGTATTCCAAAGGACTTTTGCCATCAAATTAGAACAATTAAAAACTGTCTCTAATTTTGACACTAGAACACTTGACAAATCTCTTTAGGAGTTGTCAAGCATGTTTATTTTCAGCGGTGGTACATGTGGCATTTCACAGTGAGCCCCTCCCCCTAATATCTGAAACAGAATTTAGGAATCTAATTTGGAACAAAATTAATGCTCGCAGTTTAGGTTTCTTAATTACAGAGTATAAATTGAATTAATAGAGCAGACAAAGATACAGATTCTGAAATACAGAGAATAAGCCAACATAGTTCTATATGCAACTATAGTAGCATATTTTACATTGTATTCACAGATTGGGAAAAGTTAGAAAATTTGCCTTCTGTTAAGCTAGCTCTGCTAGTCACAATGTTTCATGTTATGATCAGAAACAATCACCTTCCATTTTGTCAAGATCTAGAAATCTAAATTATTGGGAATTACCCCTGTCAAATTAAGTTTCTTACATCTGTCACTGGAAATTCAGTCTATAACATTCATTACCCTCTTTATAATGGAATAAAATGTTTTCACGAGGTTTTTTGTTGTTGTTGTTGTTGTTTTTTTTTGCTTGAAAGGTTTTTTTTTTTTTTTTTTTTTT